GGGCGCCCGGCGCAGATAGCGCGAAAGCTTTTGCGCCAGGGAGAGAAAGAGACAGGAAAGCATTGCTGGCCGGCGGCAAGCATAGCCTTATCGAGGTGAACCTCTCAGCGAGTGCGTGACGAATGGTGGCCGCACCAGCGCTACTCGGAATATTCGATCGAGGAGAACGACCCTTTTTTCTACTTCGAGATTCGTCAGGCTATATATGCGCGAGGGACCACCGCTGCAATCTTTTTTTCTCGGGAAATGAGAGGAGGGAACTTTATTGGCTTCGCTTCTGCATGAGCTGCCGCGCCGTAATCTCAACTCTCTCTCTCTCTCTCTCTCGCTCTTTATCCACGGCCCGATAAAGAGAGTTAAAAATGACTTTTCCGGATTAGAATTGCTAATCGGATGATGCTCGCGGATGATTGCTCGGATGATAATACACGCGGCTGAGTAGGTGCGTTTATCACGATAGTCAAATTTTTGTCGTGTGCTCGAGGGGAGCGACGATGACAATTTCATATTCGCGCGGAGCCGCACAAGGAAGCAAAAGCGCATGCCGACAAAAGGAAGGGCCTCTCTCGCGAGGAAATGAACTCCAGGTCGTAAACGACAATCAGACGTCAAGTCTCTGTGTGCCTCGAACCCAAAGATTTTGACGTACGACCTGACCCCGCGGCCTCCGTAGCTACCGTGTTATGTGTGTCTGCACGCGCGCGCTCGCATGTGTGTGTGTAAAACGCAGCCGCGCGTTCGCGAAGGCCCTGCAATTATGACATCGCCGGAGCCCAGTCTCGCGCGCGTGAGAGAGCGAATACGTGCGCGGCACGAGGAGCTGTCAAAAGGGCGGAGGCGCATGCCGAGGATGAGCGATGTTTATTGAGATTATAGCTGCACCAGCGAGAGAGAGAGAGAGATTCGTTTGCTGCGAGCTTCAAACGTTGCACACCGCACCGCAACGCGTGTAACGAGTAATTGCGTGTGTGCAGGTGTGAGTGTGCCGGTATGAACACGCTTTGTTTGCCAGAGCGAGGCGTGCGAAAGAGCAATCCGATGTCTTGTCAATAAAAAGTCATCATACGGCTTCACCTTCATTATTTTTTTATGCTACAGAACGACAATGTTAATAATTGTTAGCTGCAGGAAATAGGTGGGGGCAAACGTTCGCGCACATAAACGGCGTCCAAATTACAAGGTAAGGGCGCGCGAGTGCCGCGAGTATAAGGTTTTAAGACGTCATAAAAGGGCAGTTTACTGGGTCAAAAGTTCAGCTTAAGTAAGGATTGTACGAAGGGTACGTTGTAGATTCCATCGAATTGCCTCGCCTCTCGCTCGAGCATTTCGTCTGCCCGGACACTTAAAAGAGCGAGAGCCCAATTCCTTTATCGTCGCTTACCTTACGGTCACAACTTTACGGTACTTCGGGGTAGCGTTACATTTTTACAGCCTTCGAAACTGTGTATTCGCGCCGGTGACGACGACGACGACGACGACGACGACGACGACGACGACGACGACTACCACTACCGAAAGAGAAAGGGTCGCAAGATAAGCAAAGACGACGTGTCATGCCGTTAGAGCCATATATACTTTCACAAATCGACGTGGCTCTTTTACTTACAGATCGATTCTCGAGATTAAATCTCTTCCCTTGCAAACCTCTTCGTCCGAAAATTTCATCGGCATGAAACCGACGCGAATCTTTGTAAAACGTCTGGGCGCAAGCTCAGCAAGCGCAAAAGTCGCAGCTGGCTGCCTTTTGCCTACCGCCGCGTAGCTCGACAGCCCGCACACGTACCGTAAAGCTAATAGAATCTCAGCGAGCGGCAGGTTGTACATCGTAAAATGATGCAGTGCACCCGCGCGCAGCAGTTTATAGTTTATAGTTGAACTGCTACGATCGCGGGATTTAAAAGGGATCGCGCGCACGAGCAGGTTTTATGAGCGGTATTAGATGTAAGAACTGTGCAACGTTAAAATCCCCCAACGTTAAAACGCGCGCGCGCGCACGCGGCCGCAAACGCCTCGCCTCTTCCTCTAATTTTACGCTAATTTTCACGCGAAATTCTGCGGGTGGTCTCTCTCGATTAGATCCTTGAGCTTGACGATGCCACGACGTTTATCGATTCTCGCGAAAAAGCCCATGCGAATTATTATTATGTCTACGATGGCGCTCGTAAACCTAGCAATATGCGTTTTTATAATGTTCCATCGACAGAGATAAGCAAAGTTAATAACAGAGAAATGAAGATCGGCGATGACGATGACGAGGACGAGGAAGAGAACAAGAAGAGAAGCCTATAGACGGTCGATCTTTCAACGCGCTCAATTTTACGACTCGGCGTAATGATTACCCGCAGCAGATATCGACTTTCGCCAGAGCGAGCTCGAGTAAGTGAGAGAGAGAGAGAGAGAGAGAGAGAGAGAGAGAGGGAGAGAGAGGCTGGAGGCGGCTGATTTCGAGTAGTGTAGTTGCGGCGCTGCAGCGGCGGAGACGTGGACGCATGATGCACAGGCTCTCCTGGCATTGTGTGTCCGTGATGCAACACAATATGCTTGCCTCGGTAATAACAGTGTCCCGCGGGCGCTACGGCCAATCCTCGTAATGAAAGTATGATTGATGGTGCAGTCGGGACGCGACGAGAGAGAGAGAGAGAGAGAGAGAGAGAATGAGACTTGGCCCTCTCTTGCTCTCTGATCATTACCTCTCGACAACGCCGCGTGTATTACATGCGCGAGCATTATTATCCTCTGCCCCGTGCAATCTGCTAAGGCCCTGGCAATAATTTAATCGCTGCGCGAGAGCGAGCGAGCGAGAAATTGAAAATTTCGCCTGATGAGCTTAGCCTGTTTTAGTCTGTTTATTACGGCGATTCTTCATCTTGCGTTAAGTTTTGTAATGAAAGCTCTCTCCGAGCCAAGCAGACTGAATTATTGACTGGAAACTACTGCGATATTTTTCAAAGCGAGAGAGAAAAAGAGACAGATAAACAGAGAGATCGCGGTCTCTGAATTTTTCATCGAGACGCGCGAGAAGACACAAGGCTAAATATATAAAAGCTCGTTCGCGCGCACAGACATGTCCATTTTGGAGATGGAGAAGATAAAGCGCGAGTTAAGTGGTCGAAGCTTGCAGTGTCGGTAGTAGCACCTTCCCCCCGGGGACTTGCCGCGCGCTCACGCGGGCCATAGAAAAGCACATTTATCATTTATGCTTTCCGCCGGACAACAAAATCTGCCCTGGGGGCGATATTTCGGTTATTAAGGTATCGCAGCAGCTTTCTGTCTGGTACGAGAGAGAGCTTGACGAAAATATAACACCGCATTCACGTGAGCCGGGAATTTCATCGGGCGAGTTTGAAAAATTCAGCGCCAAATTGATAGCGGGATATTTTCAGTTACTTAATTTTAATCAAAGCTCAGCGGCGGTGCCGCTCATCCATTTCTTCTCTGCAACGTTACTTATTGAGTGGGAGAGGGAGAAAAAAGCGAGGGCTAGGAGTCTCTTAAGTGCAGTGGAAAAAGGGTAGAGTCAGCACTATATAGAATGAAAGAGAGAGAGAGAGAGAGAGAGAGAGAGAGAGAGAGAGAGAGAGAGAGAGAGCGCGCGCGCGCAAGGGAGCGAAATGGCTTTGATGAGGATTGACTTCGGGATGATAATCTGAGGAACACGAGTTTCCACTCTCGGTCTCGAGCTCTCGAGAACGAGCACTTTTGGTCGGCGGTAACAGTAGCTTTTCTTCTTGGACGCGCGGCCGATTTCTGCACTACTACGTTTTGATTTTAGGATAGCGCGAAAGCACGGGAGTCGACCACGGCCTCGCAGCATTGGAAAAGCAGTGATCGAACGGTGCTCAAGTAATTTTTGTTGCCTTCGGCGGAAGCAATAAGGTTTTTCGTTCTGCACGCGAAACGCACATCCGCGCCTCGTCGATTGCACTCGAGAGCGCAGCGCTGCGAGGCAAAGAGGCAGAAAAGAAAGGAAAATCCATTGGTTTCTTAGAAGCGGCGAATATGTCTCTGGCGAGTCTCTAAAACGCCCCTAAAGCCCAGTTCGGGGCAGCAAGGCAAACAAGCCGTAACTCAGTGAGTGTTTACGAGAGATCGAATGGGAGAGAGTGGGTTCGGCAGAGTCGTAAAAGTATGCTGCTGCTACCGCTACCAGCGACTATGTCTTACGCAAGAGGGTTCGCTTAAAGAAAGAGAGAGAGAGAGAGAGAGAGAGAGAGAGAGAGAGAAATCTCTGTTAAGAAGGCGCAAGAGAGAACACAACGGATCGTAAAAGCTCTGATCACCAACGCCGAGGCAATTATCCGGTCGTTACATCCCCTTATTTTATTCGTACTTTCGTGCTTTTTTCCTTTCTTCCTCTTTTTACTGCAAACGAAGTGATTCCCACCTCGTAAAAAACATTCGAAGAGCGTTGACTAACCGATTACGCACGCATGATCACCCGGTATTCTGAATTTTCCAGCTCGCAGGAGACTCGATACTCGTCCGGACGCGGCGATATATTCATGAATTATAATGGCGCGCCGCGCACGCAAACTTGTAACGGCCGGCTTTCCTTGATATTCGAGCGATAAAAAAGGTTCGCATAATCACTTTCCAACGAGAAAGAGAGAGGGCGGATATCGGCGCGTTATTTATAGCGCCGACGACACTCTGATGAAATTTTAATGCTTGATTATGGGAAAATAATGTTTGCCAGTGTGAATGACTCGCTCAACTGTACGTTAGTTTACCGTAGATTATGAATTTGATGTATCGTTGAAAAATTGCCTCCTGTCTTGGGAGAAACCCAGTAGTAAAAGTCGATTTAAGTCAGACACGTCGAGATTTATCGAGAATACTTCTATACTTGGACAAATATTCGTCACGAGTTCTGAATGTCGCTGTTGTCAGTCGTTTGAAAGTCGATAAAAAATGTTGTTAGCTGAATATTGCAATGTGTGCAAGTGTGCTACAGTATAAGAGTGTAGAAATTAATTTTGACAGCATTGGCCTACACTTACCGGCTCGATTGCTCTGATCGATCATTGGCTGGACGATTCTACGCCTTGCATTGATAAACCTGAAATCAGATGAAACGATATTGTTATTCGCGAAGCCATTCAGAGAGAGTCAGTACATTGGATACATATCGGAATATTTCAGCGCAGACGAGATGAATCTCGGGTTACAGGTTTAATTAGACTAGCCCTGTCAGCGCGTGCGCAACGCTATCTTATCGGCCAATTTCTCCTTGTCGCTCGTTAAAAACGACAAAAAGAGCTTGGTGCATCCTGCTTCTGAAGAGCAGCGTTTCGTCCGATGACCAAAAGCTAATAGAGAAGCATCTTCCGTGATACGTCATTAGCGAGAAAAAGAGAAAGGGCGAACAATGGGCAAGAGAGCGCGGTTGTGTTTCGTGGCGGGCCGTTGAGCTTACGAACCAGCAGCCGGCACGGGGAAGAAAAAGTCGAGGATTGAGCAGCGACCGAAGGAAAGAGGAAGAAGAAGAAGAAGAAGAAGAAGAAGAAGAAGAAGCTATATCGCAGGCTGGCGGCGAGGGTCTGCACGTCAGCCGACGTCAGCGTCGCGGCGCCCTAATGGGCGCAGACGCCGGAAGTGATTGGGTTTCCGCTCGACTGGCTATCTCTCGCTCGCTCTCTTGTTTTGCGGACGCTCCTCTTGCGATTCGCTCACGCCTCGGCGCGCTCCCTCGAGTTATGAATAATAATTATTGAATTCGCATCTCGGGAATTTCTTTTTTGCTCCCCATTTTCCAGCAAATCCACCTGACTCCGCCAGTATGTAATCTCGAGCCTCGAAGAATAGAGAGAAAGGGAGCAAAGAGCGGCGAGCGAGCTTGCATTCCTCGTTTTCTCTCTCTCTCTCTCTCTCTCTCTCTCTCTCTCTCTCTCTCTCTCTCTCTCTGGCTGAGCTGCGCGCCGCCGCGCCGGTGGCACGTCAGAGCCAGCTGACTCTCACCCTTAGGCGGCCCAGCCTGAAATATCGCCCGAACAATGGCTTGCCCGCGCGAGCGGGAACCTAGCTGCGAGCTGGCCGACGAAAATATCGCCGTGTTCCAGAAGCCGGAAAACTCTTAGGGGCGATAAAATTTTACAGTCGAAATAACTCGCCGCTTCGATTCTCGCAAGCAGCCAAAGAGACCGAACGAGTTTTCTTTTTAACTTTCTCCTCTCTCTCCCTCTCCCTCTCCCTCTCTCTCTCTCTCTCTCTCTCTGTCGAGCCTCAGTTTCCACTGGCTTGTTATTATTACGCTCGGCTTGTCACAGAGCACGCTGCGCTATACTACATGCCGAGCCACGTTGAGGAATTATACACTTAGAAAGTTGCAATTTAGAGCAGTCAGCTGAGTTATCGTTGCCTATTGAATTTGAATTGAATTGACGAACATCGTTACAGTTGCAAGTCCAACGAGCAGCGCTATTCCCCGACCTTTACCTGCTCTGGTTAATGAATATGTCCACTAAAACAGTCGGCGCCCACGAAAATACGGAGGTTCAACCGCGGTGAAGGTTTTATCACCGGGTGATATATATATATATATATATTTTCTTCTTTTTTCTAGAGAACAGCGGTATCTTGCTAGGCTCGCGCGCCACGCCGGTTATCGCCGAGTAATGGGGTATACATTTCGCGGCGCGATGGATGCGAAACGAGGCGAGAGAGCAGATTGCCGACGAGTCACATGACAAAACACTCCTTTTTTTCGCCCCCTTCAGCTATAAATAAAGCCGTTTTGGGCTCAATAATTTTTCCGGCCAAGCGATGATCGAATTCCCGCGCAAGAAAGAAACTATCGAGCGCGACGCTTCGGCGGCGCGCGTTTATGGAAATGACCAGGGAGAGCACGGCGATCGCGCTCGCGTAAAAAAGGCATAAAACTCAGGGCTACACCGTATCCCCCACGTGTAAGCCTGTGCTTCCCCTAGGCGTGACTAAATTTAGTGCACTCGGGCCTCGGGCGCATATATGAATAATGCTCGTGCTTTTTATAGCGACTGGCTGCATACGTCGATGCGGCCTGAATGTGTCAATTGACCGTGAACGGGGCGAGGAAGAGCATCGAGTCTTGTGGACTCGCAAAGACAACGACGGAGCGTCTCCCGTAGATTTTGCTACCATTCGAGAAGCGCGAATCACACTCGCATCGAAATTGCCAGCGAAACGATCATCATCCGCGATCACGCGTGCTCTGATAGATGAGAGGGCCGCAGCAGCGTGTAATGGCCATAATCGACGACGCGAGCGAGAGAAAGCCGAAGCATTCGCAATTATCGAGGAAGCTTCCATTAGCGAGATGGGGTTGGGGGGAAAGGATGACGCTCTCCACTGTAGCCCGCATCAAAACATCATTACCGCTTAGTCGGCTCGCCTATGCAGAAGAGAGAAGAACGCGTGGCAAAGTACGTAGGAGCGACTGCTATTAGTTATCAATTTCGCAGCTAATGCGTGCAGCGACAGCGCCTCGTCTTGGCAGCCCAGTGTTTTTTCTAATTCTACGTGCAAGCGCGTCGCGATCGTTGCTCCAAGCGCGAGTACAATCGAATAATCGCGCGACCAAGTATCGCGACAGGATCAATGATTGCCCACGAGCGAGCAAATCTTGGACTCGAGCCGATGTAATCGGACGCTGCAGCGTCGTAGCAGGTCGCTCGCGCAATCGCTGCCAGATGGGATACGCGCGGACAGCTCGCCAGTGTCAATGCCTTACCGGCGTCTCTGCTGCTCTCTCGTCAAATTCACGGCTTTTCAGCTTGAAACAATGCCACACGTGCTTTCCCGCGCGAGCTATTTTCCTTCTCGTTCCCGCTATTCCTTTCTTTGTTTGCTTTTTTATTGGGATCGCCTGGCTTATGAGCTCGATATTTAATTGAAGTTGACGTGGCCGCAAAGTTGAAAAACGATTAAAAATTCCGTCGCACTGCAAGCGGAAAACCTTTAAATATATTCGATTTTACTGTAGGGTGGAAAGGTCGTCAATTCTGTGCTTATTGCACGTTTACGATATTATTGACGAGAATTTTTTTTTTCATGTGGAATAAATGACTCGACGTTCGACGCTCGTCGAATAAATTTCTTGACGTATCGGCCAAACAAAATTTTACTCGCCGAGCGAAAATTTTTTATTAAGAAAAGTTGGTATCAAGGCAAAATTCGACACGGCATTACTCTCTCGGCAAAGTGTGGCTTTCAGCGCGCCAGAGCGTTCGCCAATATTTCCATTGCTTTCATAAATTGCGTCGGGCTGGCGGCGCATTCTCTCTTTCTCCCGCATTTTGCCCGTTTTGCCCATTTTACCCAGAGGGAAAAGCGCCGAATAGTTTTGCCGCAGCGTGTGCGCTTTTCGCGCTAGCGCACGCTCGCTCGCGCCAACGTTCGGTGACTCGTGCTGCATTTAATCTATGGCTCTCCCCCCGACGACGGCGGCGGCGGCGGCGGCGGCGGCCAAGCGCTTTTTCCAAAAATTCGCCCTCGGAATTTATATAATTGTTTTGCCGGGTTGGCCACTAAATTTTCCGCGATCGCGCGCTCTGATGGGCGTGCTTCGCTCGAATTCTCTCACCCTTCACCTATATAACACCAAAACCTCGATCGACATCGCAGCTTAGCTTTTCGCGTTACGTTGGCCCGCAGCAAACAGGTTTTATCTTCAAAGGGGATAAACTTTGGGTCGAGAGCTCATTGTCGACCGACCGACCGACCGACCGATAGTTAGGTCCAAATTGAAATTGCTTTGAAAATCCAATTTGTATGGAGTTAGTTCGGTGAAAAACACAAGAGGAGATTTGGTTAAAAGCTTTGTCGAGCGGACGCTCTCGCACACGCAGCAGCGACAGCGTCGGCGCTCGCGCGGCCGGCCCTAATCACAATTAACGTCGACTTTGCGAAACGCGCGCGAATGCACGCATACAGACAAGCGCGTTCCGGTTCTGAGGGGGGGGGGCTGTTGGTGCTGCTAATATACAAGCTGCAGAATGCTTCGTTTTCGTCACGAGGCGCGAGCACACGAGGTCGCTGGTTAATCAGTGCAATTAGGGTAACACGTGCATAACCAGGCAGCCGAGCACATGTCACGTGATGAATGGCTGTGCCTCGCGCGAAATTGTGATCGGTGGACGCACCGACAACCTCGCTCTCTCTCTCTCTCTCTCTCTCTCTCTCTCTCTCTCTCTCTCTCTCTCTCTCTCTCTCTCTGCCTACCTATACCATACTTCGTGCACTGTATTTGCGCCTATCGCGCCCCCTCGCCCATCCCTCGCCAAATAAACGTAGTCCGCGGATACACGTTACATTGCGATACAATTGCGAGAGACGAGTGGATAAGGGAAAGGCTTGCGTCCCTTATTGGCTGTCTCGCTCTGCCGCGTGAATTATCGCAATTAGTTTTCGGAGAATGGTAGTTATGGGCTTTATGGGGATTTTTTTCGAAAAATACGCCGATTTGGCTAAGCCTGTTTGGCACTGCTTGGAATGCTCTGTAGTCTTGAAAAGAGCAGAACATGCTGGCCGACTGACGACGAAGAAAGGCTAATATTTTTCGCGAGAAGCTCTTGGCGAAGTCTATGAAAATTTGATTACATTCCAGAGACACTGTCCCCTCGTGCTTCGGTTTAATGATGGACTCCTACGAAGAAAAAACAAACCACCTCATCGGCCAATGCTCGCGCCGTCGATAGTGAAGAAAAAAGCGTTCTACGCAAACAATTACAGCCGGAGCTAGATGATTGATCGAGGTGGCGGTGGCCGGCCGGCACCATGTGATCCCGATATAAACAACTCTGTCGTCTGCGAGTTCAATAAAGTAAGGCCTGCGAGTGTACAGTTGCGCAGGGAGGTCCAATATAATCTAGGTGTGGCGTGGTGCACTTGCTACCGGTTCGTTGGCAAGTTATTGAGCTCGCAGCTGTCGCCAGAGTGAGAATCGAGTCAAGCCGGGGAGACTAAGTCGATTGTCACGCTCATCTCGATAGCCTCGGCGCTTGCGAGCTCGGGCGTCAGCTTGTTACAGTCTCTTAAACTTCGCCAGCAGAGAGAACGGACTCTATGTGTAGCAACTGCTGA